TCTGGCCCAGTCCGTGGGCCATTCATCCTGCGGACACTTGCTGAGAGCCCGCTCTGTGAGAGCTGGAGAGGGAGGCAAAGGCCCCCTGGCTTCGCCACAGTCACGTGTGGAGACAAGCAGCCAGCTCCCTGCATCGAAGGGTAAACTAGTGTCCTGAGAGCACTGCGGGCAGTCGCTGTGAGGGGAGGGTGCAGCATCAGAGTGGGGGCGACGGGCGGTGGTGCCACTGCTATTTTGAAGCGTGTATTGGGCTATTCTGGGCAGTGCCTTGTAAAAGGGGCAGGCAGTACAGTCCCCACTTTACAGACAAAGAAACAGAGACCTTGAGAGGTGAAAGGACTCGCTAGAGACTAGACAGCTAGTAAGTAGCAGAGTTGGGATCCAGCCCAGCCCGTCAGATTGCCAGTCACTGTTCCACAGACCTGAATGCCGCCTCCCAGGGTATGCCCAGGTTTGCTGTCCCCATGCAGTTCCTCAAGACACCCCCGCAGCCGCCCAGGTGCCAGGCTGGGGGTGCCCAGGAGTGGCGAGCGGACTGGGAGGCTGGTGATTAACCACCCGGAGTCACGCAGCCTTCGCAGATCGCTCTTGTGGGGAACATTCCACCGCATAGAGAGGAATCACTGAGCTAATTCTAGTCAAGATCGCTCAGCTTTATTTCCTACCGACGCTTCCAAACGGAAGGCTGTGTATTTACACATTTAGGCTCGCACTGTGAGACAGAAACGTCTATTCTGGGTGAGGAACGGGAAAGAGATTTAAGGCTGGGAGAGAGAAGAGACTGGAAAGAGCTGCCCTAGCCCAGCACACCAGCGCCGTGAAACAGAAGCCCTAGCAAGGAGCTCCGTGTGTTCGAGAGGAAAAGAAACCTCTCCTAGCCAGTATGGGGTAGTGTCTCCGGCAGCCGACAATGATTTAATTATCTCACATATGCAAATGTGCCCTGTGAACTATATGATAATTCATGGATGTCAGATGTAGGCAAATGGCTGGGCCTGGGAGTCAGATGGATGTGGGTGTAAGTGCTGCCTCGCCCACTTTGGGGGCCGTGACAAGCCGCTTGCCTGTCTGGGTCTGTGTTCCTCAACTGTAAATGGGGAGCACTTGCAGTAACATCGTCTTCCAAGCATTGCTCTGAGGGCCAGATAAGGAAACGGATATTCTTTATAAATTGGCAAGGGCTGTGCACTTGTAGGTATTATTCTTGTTTCCATCCTTAAACTCCAAAATAGACGATGGGATTATCAGAGAGCAGCCACCAGGGCTGTCACTAAGCCGGGTGCGGACCACTCCCTGGGAGTGGAGAGGGGAGGACTAGAGCCAGGGGAGCCTGTGGCCCGCCCTCCCCCTCCGGATTGACAGAATGAGGCCATCTTCTGTCAGGGGCCGCATCCCAATATCCAAGTGGCCGTCTCAGGTGAGAGACGTGCGTACGGCTACAACTGGAACGTTTCAAAGGCCGCTTTCTCCAGCGACATCCGTCAGCCCAAATGGAGTTTCAAAAAAATACTCAGCAGCTTATCTTGGGGCGTGGGAGGCAGGTGGGGACAGCCTGTGCAGAGCCTGGCAGACCTGGCTGCGCCTTGCTGCTGGCAGCCCACAGAGGAGGCCATCCCTCGCGCTGCAAGGAGGGTATCTCTTTCTTCTCCGCAACTGGAATTAACACTCCTCGCAGCCGTGGAGTAAAGAGGTCAAGATAGTGGTCCTTGGGGTCTGCCGCCTATCAGCTATGTGTGACTTTGACGAACCTCTAATGTGAAACGGGTTTGAGTTTGATGCTTGCACCTACCTGCTTCATAAGGTTTCTGTGGAATTAAGTTAAATAACCACATTTAGCCCAGGGCCGTGCACTTAATGAGGGCTCAATAAATATTCACTATTATTGTTTCCTTTCATTACTTTTACTGTAATGGGTCACTAAAGCAATGTTACCAAAGACCTGCTTCCAACTCTGATCAGAGCTTCGAGGGGTCTTCAGGGGGAGAGGGGAGCCGGGAAGAGGGTAGGATTACTTATATATATTTCTGCTGAATGGCTCAGGTCATTTTAGAGACTTGGCTAGTGGTAGGAGAGTGTCCCCAAGTGCTGGGTTGCACCTCAACAGAGCTGGGCATGCTGGGGTGCTGTGGGCTTGACTGTGTCCCTGCCAAGTCCATATGTTGAAACCCTAACCCCAGTGTGACTGTATTTGGAGACAGGCCTCTAAGGAAGTAATGAAGGTGAAATGAGGCCATAAGGCCGGGGCTCTGATCTGATGGGACTGTGTCCATATAAGAAGAGAGACCAGAGAGCTGGCTCACTCTCTGCCATTGAGGACACAGTGAGAGGCAGCCGACTGCAGGCCAGGAAGAGACCCCACCAGAACCGAACTCTGCCGGCACCTGACCTCTGACTTCAGTAATGTCCCATTCCCCTTTACTTCCTCGTCTGTTTTCCACATATGTATTAGTTAATAGATGTCAAAGTAGGACATACATGCAGAAAGCTTACATTGTATTTTTTTCAAAGTAATATAAGTGCATAACTTCTAATTTAAATAGTAGCAAAGGGCTCATAATTAAAAGCAGCGGCCCTTGCACCCCCTCTTTCCAACCTCTAGAGTTTTCCATGGCATATTTTAGAATTGCATATGTGTTTACTACAGAAAATCAGAAAATAGAGACAAGCAAACCTAGGATAACATTAAATCCTACTTCTCGTTTTAAAATTTCTTCCAAATCATTTAGCCATGCATTTTTCCCCGGGAAAGGTCCTCGGTGTATTTTTTCTGTGCATTATAGCTCTAATCACTGTCTGCCTTCAATTAAGGGGAGGAAACAAATATTTGCTGAGTAGCAGGCGCTCAGCCCTTGCTGCTCAGAGCGTGCTCCGAGGGCCAGCAGCCGGGCATCATGGGCGCTTGTCAGGAATGCAGAGTCTCGGGCACCACCTCAGATCTGCGTCTGACAGGATTGTGGCGCCCGGCATGCATGCTGAAGCCGGGGAGGGCTGTGTGGACCCAGGCTGCTCACAGGCGCTGTCCACGAACTGCTGCTCACAGCCCCGAACCACAGGCTGAGCCAGCGTGCAGACATGTGCTGCTGCCTTTGTTGGGGAACTTGCCTCAAGATGCTGCCAGCTGAACTTAACAAGGTGATGGATGAGAAGGGGGATTTACATTCTGGCCCGAGCTCCTTATCTTGTCAGGGCCTGGACTCGCAGTTCCTGGGCGTGGCACCAGGCTGCAGACCAACCACACTTTGGGTAGTGCTGTTTAGACCACAAGCAGGAAAGTTGGGGGCTGGGGCAGCACTGGGCTTCTCTGGCTCTGAACCCGACCTCTTCCACTCTGCATGCGCCTGACTCTCCCGCCTACAGTGACACACACGCTCAGGCAGGCACACACATCCTAGGAGAGCCCTGGCCCCAGACTCGGTGATTAGGAAGCGCCTGCCTCTTGATTCCCTGCCTCTGTCCCACCAGCCCTCTGTGTACATTACAGGCTTTTACACCGGGTTATTGTTCTCATTGTCACTCCTCCTGTCAGGGCCAAGCAGAGCAGGGGGCTTGCAGCGCATCGGGAGTCGAAAGAAGCCGAGCAGAGGAGCCTTGTGGACTCGGAAACAGACAGAACAACTCTGCTCAGCGCAGGTTCCCGAGGCGAAAAGAGCTCTCAGACCCCAGGGTCCACATGGAACCCAGTATTTACAAACTCCACCTGTGACCTGGCTCCACCTGTGGTGGCAGAAGCGGGTGAATAAAGCCTCTGAGCCAGAAGCAAGGCCGCTGGGAAGGTGTGGGCCAAGCAGAGGCAGCGCCAGCCTCATCTCAAACACTGCAGGGTCTTGGGCACCACCTCAGATCAGATTCGGTCCAGCCTCGTGTCACCTTCCCCAAGGAGCCCAGGGAATCCCATGAATTTGGGTCATGGGTTCATTTTCACTTGGACATTGGGAAGACTCAGAACCCTGCATGCAGCACAACTTATTTAAACGAATTGGGAGTCAGAGTTTGAATTTCCAGGCCACTGTTCTGTGCTATGTGACCTTAAGGAAGTTACTCAACCTTCCTGAGTCAGTTTCCTCGTCTGTAAAGGGGAGCATAATACTGACCTCGAAAAGGCATTGTAAAGATTAGTGATAATGTCTGTAAAGTGCCTAGAACGAACTCGTTCATTCATTCAGCATGACGATATGGAGCACCTTTGGGTGCCTGGGACTAGAGGTGCAATGGTGAGCTTGGGCTCACAAGCCAGCAAGGAAGACAGTGCCAAAGAGCCACACAGACGAGCACTGACCAAGCCGTGGTATACGCTCCAAAGGGAAGTGCAGGCAGCTGTGTGGGCTGGGTCTAAGCTGGGAGCCAGGGAAGGTCTCTGAGCAAGTGATTTTGAGCTCAGATCCCAAGAAGTAAGAAAGGACATTCCAGGAGCACAGAGGGGACTACTATTAATATGATGCAGAATATAGTTTTGGGTAGAGAGAAGGGGTCAGTTATATTTTACTTTTTGAGGTAAAATTTACAGACAGCCAAATGCACACATGTTAAGGTCCAAGTTGATGACTTTCGACAAATATACCCACAAAGCCAGCACCTCTATCCAGATGTGAAACATTGCCATCTGATTGGGCTGACCTGAGTAACTGTCTCCCATCCGGTGGAATCAAAGTCAGGGCCTGGCTTTTAACAGGAACATTTTTTGGTGGTGCAGAGGGCTACAGCTTTGGACTAGGCTTAAATCCCAACACCACTTCCTACCCAGAGGACTTGGCCCAGGTCTCCCCACCTCTCTGAGACTCCGTTTTCTCATCTGTAAAATGGGGCTAATTAAACCTACTGCATAGGGTTGCTTAAGGATCGAATCTGCCAATGGTTGTATATGCCCAGCTGGGCATGTGGTGGGTGGGAGCCTGTGACTGAGCCCTGTTTCGTTTCCAGAATGGGAACTCTGGTGGGAAGTGCTAGTGATTGGAGTCGGGGCAGCTGTCGTACACCTGCTGACACTGGTCTCTTCTCCACAGGGATGTGCCTGCAGGCCTTCGTAGAGGCTTTCTTTTACCTGGCTCAGAGGAAGTTCAAGATGCTGCCCCTGCACCAGCAGGTGGCCTCGCTGGTCGACCTGTGTGAATACCACCTGTCCCTGCTGGATGAAAAGCGGCTGGTGTGTGGCCGGAGTGGCAGGTTTGGGAGCCGGCACCCTCACGGCCGCGTGCCCCAGGAAGCCACCCCGGCTGCCCCGCTGGTGGAGGGCCACCTCCCACCCGGCACAGGCAAGCTCTCCCATTCCACACGCGCTCTGTCCTGAGGGCCGCTCTGTCCTCCCGGAACAAGCAAGCCCTTCCTTCAGGGCTGGAGAGAGGCCCTGGGCTTCCCACGTGGAGAAACGCCGGCTGCCGGGATCCTGCCGGGACTCTGCGAGCTGTGGGTCCTGCGCTTCGGGAGGCCGCCTGACTCGCGCCCGCCTTCCTCCCAGCGCCTCGTGGTGGTAAACCTGTTTGCAAGTCACAGTGGACATATGACATCCCAAAGGTGACAGATGGCATCTCCTATTCTGAGCTCATGGGAAGCGACAGTGGGGGTGAAACTGTTGTGTTTGGGGAACCAACAGCCCAGGCTGCGCTGTGGTGAGGAAAGGACGTGAGGCAGCCGAGTCCTGGATCTGCGGGGCCCAGCGGGAGCGCTGGCTGAAGCCCGGGAGCATCATGCCTACTTCCTGCCTCCACTCTGTGGGATGGAGTGGAAAGGCCCGCGACTCCCCTCCGATCATGTGCTACTTGGGTGTAGTTAACAGATTAGCCTCGTTTATTTCATTAGCTTGCCTACTGCTGCAGTGTTCGGTTTGTTATTAATTAAGAAATAATTAACTAAGAAGTCACTACAGCTTCTCAAGTCTTCAAGCTGGCAGGAGCCACAGGGGTCATTTTGCCTGATTTTGTTTGACCTTGACCCCAAGGCAGAAGTCCCATGGTTGTATGGCATCTGACTGAAGCCCTCCCCATTTGGGGTGCTCTCTGTGTGGCCAGCACTGCCCAGGGCTCCTGTGTGCTGGGCGTCCTGGGTGAGGAGGAGGCTCCTGAGGGGAGGAGACAAGACCTGGTGAGGGTTAGGATGAAGAGGAACATGAGGCCAGACCCAGGTGCCAGAGGTGGTGGGTGGAAAAGGGGAGCTCCTTGCATAAGAGTAGGCTCCCCTCTTGTCTCCACCTGTGTCCCCTCAGAGGGGAAGCCTCACAGGCAGCCACAGGGGCATTGTGGGTATGGCCACGGGCAAGTGCAGGCCCAGGGCCAACCAACAGGTGGACAGAGGCTGCCCTTGCAGAGTCACGCTCCCCACAGCATTGTTGGATTTGGGTTAACGTGGCCCTTTAATGCGTCCTGGCAGCCCTGGGAAGAGTTGATATCACACTTCGAGTCAGGAGGATGCCAGGTCTGAGGGCATCAGCACAGTGCCAGGCACACAGGAGGCTCAGGAAATGCTCACAAAGGAAGGGCAAGGAGGGTCCTGTGGGCAGGAGTGTGCCCCGGACCAGCACATCTGTCCGCCTCCCCTGCCGTCCTTGTCTTCTCCCTCCCACCACCCTCCCTGTCTCCTGAGTCCCCTTCACTCAGGCCCACTGGAGCAGTTGAGGCAGCACACACACAGCCGTACACAGTCACGAGCAACTTGCACTCAGTCTCCCAGGAATGTTGCCAAACCCAAAGACAAGGTTGTTCATCAAGATCCTGCCCACTCTTAGCCAGTTACTTTACAGCAGGGGGCCCACCTGAATCCTTGCTGGACCTTCCTTCCAGCCAGCCCATTCTCAATAAAACCTGCTTCCCCTGCATACGACTCCCAGGCAACGCCCTGTCCTGCGGCCGCCTCCCTCCTGCTCCTCAGAACACAGGGCTGAACCAAGGCCACTCCCTTCCCACCTGGAGGCAGGCTGCTCCGCCAGGGTCAGGGTCTAGATCTAGAAGGAGTCCCCATCCCTACAGACACAGCAGAGTAAGCCCTGCCCCCCACACCCCACAGGGTGTTGGGGAAATGAGGCTGCTGGTTTACAGGAGGCCTGACAGACGGGCCCTGTTTTCCCGAAGCTGTTGATCAGAGGCCGCTCCTTCGCCAGAGTGAGTGAAGGGAGACTGTCCCACCTCTTTGGTGTCTAACAGAAGCCCCACCGTGTTCGCCCTTCTGGTAACTGGCCACCGGTTTTGCAGGGTGTGACTGAAGCGATAGCCAAAGCAGACGTTTCCTTCCTCCTAGCAGAGAGGCTGGACCTGGAGCCCAGGCCAGAGCCCAGACCTGTGCTTGCCTGTGGGATAAGCCCGTCCCAAGAAGGCCCTCGCCTCCACCGGCCTCCTCTCCCCACTCCCTCTAGCTGATTCCCCCAGGCTGTCCAGCACGGCCCTCACTGTTCCTCTGGCTGAGTCCCTGAGGGCAGCCTCCAGCAGGGGCTCACCTGCCTTGTTTGGGGTGCGTGCATCACTGGGCATGGGAGATGTCGCCTGTGGCCTGGCCGGAACAGGGCAGCGGAGGTGCTTGTAAAGGCGCATTGGGTCCAGGGCAGCTGTTACCAGGGCCTCTGGAGACAGCACCTCCATCTTTTAAACATGCCTCCTTCCCCTGTGTCTCCCTGAGGCTCTGTCCACTCTCCCTAGCTCAGACCTCCTCATCTCTCTCCTGCCTCTCAACCCCTCAATCTGTCCTCCATTCCTCTCAGATGGAAGAACTCAGAGAACCACAGGCTGACCGCAGGAACCCCTACTCCAACCAACCCTCATCCCTTCCCCGATGAAGCCCCCAGACCTTGACGCCAGCACTCAAGGCCCCCTCATAATCTAATCCCTTTCTTCCTGAAACACCTTAGATCCACACCTCAGGCGCCCTGCCCATGACCCCGTGCTCCCACTGCTCTTTGTATCTGTTTTTTTATTTTATTTTAATCTTTATTGTTGGAAGTATTACATAGGTACTTCTTTTTCCCCATTAATCTCTTCTAGCCCTCTCCCTTCTGCCCCCACTCTCCTCCCCCCAGGTCCTCATCACCCCATTGTCTGTGTCCAAGGGTTATGCATATAGGCATACAAGTTTATTTGGTTGATCTCTTCTCACCCACCGGCCTTCCCTCTGAGGTTCAACAGTCTGTTCATGCTTCTATGTCTCTGGGTCTATTTTTGATCCTCAGTTTATTTGGTTCATTAGATTCCACATATGAGTGAGATCATGTGATACTTATCTTTCTCTGACTGGCTTATTTTGTTCAGCATAATACTGCAAGTTCATCCATGCTGTTGCAAATGGTAAGAGGTTTTTTCTTTTTTTATTGCCGCATATCCATTGTGTAAAGGTTTTTTTTACCCGTTTTTTTATTCACTCATCTGCTGATGGGCACTTAGGCTGTTTCCAAATCTTGGCGATTGTAAATAGCGCTGCTGTGAACATAGGAGTGCATATATTCTTTCTGACCAGTGTTTTGGGTTTCTTAGGATATATTCCTAGAAGTGGGATCACTGAGTCAAATGGCAGTTCCAATTTTAATTTTTTGAAGAAAGTCCATACCGTTTTCCATACAGTCTGCATTCCCACCAGCAGTGAACTAGGGTTCCCTTTTTCTTTTCTTTTTTTTAAAAAAATATATTTTATTGATTTTTACAGAGAGGAAGGGAGAGGGATAGAGAGTTAGAAACATCCATGAGAGAGAAACATCGATCAGCTGCCTCCTGCACACCCCCTACTGGGGATGTTGCCCACAACCAAGGTACATGCCCTTGACCGGGATCGAACCTGGGACCTTTTAGTCCGCAGGCTGACGCTCTATCCACTGAGCTAAACCGGCTAGGCCAGGGGTTCCCTTTTTCCACAACCTCGCCAACACTTGCAGTTTGTTGATAGCCATTCTGACAGGTGTGGGGTGATATTGTCGTTTTGGTCTGCATCTCTCCGATGATTAGTGACTTTGAACATTTTTTCATATGCCTCTTGACCTTCTGTATGTCCTCTTTCAAAAAGTGTCTATTTAGGTCCTTTGCCCATTTTTTAATTGGATTGTTTGTCTTCCTTTTGTTAAGTTGTACGAGTTCCCTATATATTTTGGAGATTAACCCCTTACTGGGTGTATCATTGGCAAATATTGGGCTCTCTTGTTGTTTTGTTGATGGTTTTTTGCTGTGCAGAAGCTTTTTATTTTCATGTAGTCCCATTTATTTTCTCCTTGGTTTCCTGTGCCCTAGAGCAGTGGTTCTCAACCTTCTGGCCCTTTAAATACAGTTCCTCATGTTGTGACCCAACCATAAAATTATTTTCGTTGCTACTTCATAACTGTAATGTTGCTACTGTTATGAATCGTAATGTAAATATCTGATATTCAGGATGGTCTTAGGCGACCCCTGTGAAAGGGTCGTTCGACTGCCAAAGGGGTCACGACCCACAGGTTGAGAACCGCTGCCCTAGAAGATGTATCCGTAAACATATTGCTGCGATAGCTGTCTGAGATTTTGCTGCCTATGGTTTCTTCTAATATTTTTATGGTTTCATGTCTTACATTTAAGTTTGTTATCCATTTTGATTTTATTTTTGTGTATGGTGTAAGTTGGTGGTCTAGTTTTATTTTTTTACATGTATCTGTCCAATTTTCCCAACACCATTTATTAAAGAGACTGTCTTGACTCCATTGTATGCTCTTGCCTCTTTTGTCAAATATTAATTGAGCATAAGGCTTGGGTGAATTTCTGGGTTCTCTGTTCTGTTCCATTAATCTATATGCCTGTTCTTGTGCCAGTACCAGGTTTTTAGTACAGTGGCTTTGTAGTATAACTTGATATCTGGTATTGTGATCCCTCCAACTTTGTTCTTCTTTCTCAAGATTGCTGCAGCTATTCGGGGTCTTTTTGATCCCATATAAATTTTGGGGTAGTTTGTTCTATGTCTATGGAATTTGCCCTTGGTATTTTAATGGGGATTGCATTGAATCTATAGATTGTTTTGGGTAGTATGGACATTTTAATGATGTTGATTCTACCAATCCATGAGTACTGTATATTCTTCCACTTGTTTAAATCTTCCTCAATTTCTTTTTTCAACATCCTGTAGTTTTCTGAGTACAGGTCTTTTACCTCCTTGGTTAGGTTTATTCCTAAGTACCTTACTGTTTTTTGTCTTTGTATCTATTTTCACCTTATGGGAAGGGAACATTCTGGCTCTTACCACAATGGGAAGGCCACAGGGTGCAGGCTCACTCTGTGCTCTCCTGTCCTTGCATTTTCTGTCCCCTCTCCCTCTGTCCATGGAAACATTTCTTTTTCAAGGTCAAGCTCAAATGTCCCCTATGCAAATCCCCTAAACAGAATGAACCACACCCTCCTATACCTGTGGGAACCTGGGAAGTTCCTTCATTATTATCACACCTGCCCTGTGGCATCCCAGCATTGCTCCCACCAAGCAGTAAGTTCTTTCAGAGCCAGGCAGGTGCAGGGCTCATGCCGGCCCCTGGGTAGTCCGTGTCAGCTGTCTCTCCTGCTCCGCAGCTTGCGATTGCACGGGGTGGGGTGGGTCAGATCAGATGATCCCCACGTGAGTGCTGCCAGTGGGGTGGTGGGACCCGCTGGGGAGGAGCCCAGACACTCGGAATGGCGCTCTGTGCCTTTTCTAGAACCAGCTCCCTTCCCACCGAATTTGACATCAGTTCAACACAGCACAGTTTACAGAGCACTTTCACAGCCCCTTCTCATCCAGTCCGCCACAGCCCAGCAGTGGATAGGAGATTCTCATCACCGTCTCGTCACATTTGGGGACTAGTGTGCAAGGCCTCGTGGCTGAGCCTGGACTGCTAGGGAGGTCCCCTGCCCCAAACCCCATGCTCCTTTCTCGGCACCATAGCTGTGCAACCCAGCGTCGAGAGGGCTTGGGCCCATTTCATAGATGTGGCAACCCACGTCTCAGAGAGTCTGGGGGCTCAGCTCAGGGCTGTCTGATCTGACCTCCTCTTGCTGAGCCCCCAGAAGGGCTCAGTGGGCCACGTGCATCCTACGGGCTCCGGGTCCCTGAGCCTCTTAAGGGGGCACAGGCCTCTCTCACTTGATCTCTGGGAATGAAGAATGGAAAGGATGGTACACGTGGAAGCGTTTCGTAAAACAGAGTGCTGCCCGATGCCATGTTGTCTTCAGACAGGCTCTCGTGTAAGCCAGGTGTGAGGAGGGGGAGGGAAAGGTTCCTTCTTGAATGTTGTAATCCATCAAGACAGACGAGGCAGCCACCCGCTCCCTCGGTGCCTCCCGCCACCCTCCCACGCGAAGACATCCACGTGCTGAGAAATGGCCTCTGCTGCTCCCCTGGCGCCTGGCGTTTGCCTTGTGATTGGCGGAGTATCACAGCAGAATCACTTAATTGTTTTAATGTCTTGATTAATGGCCCTGCAGTTGAGAATTGGGCTTGAAACGCTGGGCATCTGAGCGCCTTCCCTGGAAGCTGAGAAAGGACGCCCTGTCCCCTCTGGGAGCCCGGTCCTCTCCGCGGGGTGCGAACTCACCTCAGACCCGCCTCGCCTTGATGGAGCCTTCTGCCAGCCTCCTGCTTGGTTTGATGGATGTGAGGGACAGTTCCCCGTGTGGCATATGGATTTCTCCCTCTTGGGATAAGTTCACATTTTTTTCTGTTCCCGGGGACAAAGGAGCTTTGCAGAACAGTCAACATATTCAATTACCTCCATCTCTAGTGACCAAAAGTCTTGATTTGTATGTAACTAGAAAGGCCCAGTGCTTGTGCATACGGTACACACACATACACACACACACACACGCATACACACACGCATGCATACACGTGCTGAGCACCACTGAGCTTTGGTATAAAATGGCAAAATGACCGATGTTTTTCTCGTTTCTGACAATTGGCCTCTGAGTCTCATGTCGGGAGCAGAGAACAAGGGGCTCGGTGCACCCGGGGGTAACATATGAGCCCACCAAGAGCTCGCGGAAATGTTTCCTCCCACGCAGAGGCGTTCGCTAAGGTTCAACCAGCGCCCTCGTCTCAGGCCATCGGGACCTGCCAGCTTCCCCGGGCCCCTCCCGGCTGCAGAGGCCAGGCCAGGAGCTGGACAGTGAAAGAAATCGGCGGGATGTTCTCCCTTCCGAGTGGGGAAGACGAGGGCTGAGAATCCCGGAGGGGCCCCGGGTGATGGTGGGAAGGGCGAGCGGCTGGGTGTTGCTGTCTGACACGCTCACTTAGTGACCAGGGACTTCACCTCTTTGCCCTCGTCCTGGCCTCTATGGTGGAGACCGTGCCATCATGAGTGTGAGGAGCCTGGCACCGGGGAAGCCTCTTAATAAATGTCCGCTGAGGAAAGGAGAGGGAGCCAGGGAGTCCTCTGCCCACCTCGTGGCCCTGAGGTCTGGCCAGAGGGCCCGGTACTCGAGCCTCCTCCCTCCGTGGGGCCTCTGCTGCTGGCTGGGCTGCTCCTGCCTCTTAACGGCTTTTGAAAATTCTTTATTAAATTTTCATGGCGCATAAAGTCGAGGTTCCATCACTCGGCCTCAGTTGTCTTGGTAACTTTGTAAAATGCAATAATAAAATGAAGCTGAGTGTTGCTAACAGTCTCATTGTATATAAATGGCTGCAAAGTCTTGATGATTTTTTCTGTGTGATAATGTTTGACAGCAAGTCCACCGGGATGGACAAAGCTTATTCATTTTGGGTCAATTGGTGAGAAAAGGGCTCCTTTTAATTTTTCCTTCTCTGATGGCTAATGTTGACCTGGGAAACTAAATGTTGCCTCAAGGAACCTGTGAGACTCCGGGGCAGCTGGAGGGAGGTGTTTGGAAAGACCTCCACCCCTTCATCTGCAGGGGACAGTCACCCTTAGGGAGGGAGTGCCGTGTCCTTGGAGTTTAAACACCTGTCAGAGGCTCTGTGGCAACAGCGGTGAGGCGGGTGGCTTGCTCCCCTTCTACAGCCGAGGCCACCGTAGGGGCCCTGGTGGGACAGCATGGAGAGGGAAGCAGCCATCCACATTATTACTGCAGGTCAGAATGTCCCAGGGCCCCCAGAG